TAGTGCAGATCGAATGCTATCGATCATGTTGCAATGTGGCCACCAGTCTAGGTGACTCGACACTGCGGGCACTATGTATTGAGATTAGATGGTGGTTGGAGGTAGTCAACAGGAAACCCTGGACCCGGGTTTCGTGCTACTTGGCACTCGTCAGCAAGGTGTAGCTGTAATATTGAGGGAACTGGTGCTCCCTGGCGGACCCGGCCATGATCGATAGCATTCGATCTGTACTAATAAGGACTTGACACGCATGATATTGATCACCACACAGTGATCAATCAATTGTGATTACATCTCAGTCCTACAGGAGGTTAGTCACTGCTCGGATAGCTCAGTAGTAACGTCTCTGACTGTGAAGCTGGGTGACACGAGATCGAATCCGCCAGGGAGCACCAGTTCCCTCAAGATTACAGCTACACCTTGCTGACGAGTGCCAAGTAGCACGAAACCCGGGTCCAGGGTTTCCTGTTGACTACCTCCAACCACCATCTAATCTCAACTGCTGAGGAGTCCCATACTAGGACGAAACGGCCGTCCAGTGCTTCCAGGTTTCCAACGGTGGTCTAACATTAATTAATTCATGATCTCAACCAAGAATATATGTATAATGTTAGTCCATAAATAATTCCTAACAGTTACCACCCAATTATTCTTCACCCGGATACAACAATTATCATTATTTTATTATGTGATCTTCGCTAAACTAATTCTTAATTAGATACACTAAAATCACCCCCTTCATTCATATGATTTTTATTTATCTGATTCGCAACACTTATGTAAATTCTTCACAACCAGTTCAGTTATTATCTTATCAAATTCTAATTCCATTAATCTTATGTAAACCCCTCACAACCTCTAAAATTATCACACAATCTATCTTATTTGTTTCTGGACCTCATTTAATTACTGTTTCACTCACTCTGCTATAATTTTTAAAACTCTATCTTTAAATGACCTCACACTTGTTCTTACACAGATATATCTGTATAGTTATTATTGAGAATCTTTGTTATTTCTAATTCACTCCCCCTCATCAATGACAATCATCCTATCTCAATGTTACACTTTAATACACATCAGTGTTTGGAAGCCAGATGATGAGAAACCATAAAATCAAATGAATTCATATTGTTCCGTCTTAATTGTTGTTTGGGCTTTATTCACATTCATAAAAGGAACCAATTGTATGCATTTATATTGATTATTTCATCACTTGATATCAATCTATTTTTTATCTAGTAAGTCAAACATTTCTTTACATATAAATGAAATATTCAACTCCTTAATCATATATTCAAGCAGCCATTGAAAAGCCACCTTAGTGATTAAGGTGTTTAACTCTCAACCAAAAAATTGTGAGTTTAAAGTGCACCCAAACTACTTTAATTTAAGCAGATGAATAGTATCACCAAGCCTCGCATAACTAGAATGAGATTCAAAGTACATGAATCTATATATGGTAAATGAATAAACAATATTATTCTATAAGCTGCCCCCAAATGCCCTGGTACGGTCGAGAGTGAGGAGAGTCAGCTCTCCCTCTACAAATGATCTCAAATGGCCACGTGCCTACAACTACTGACACGGAAGTCCTACTCACTGCATTCTAACACTATAGATGTTGTTTACGAAATTGAGAGAACGAAAAGCGAATGTCCGTCAGGAGCTTTAACCGAATTGGTGGACACGGAGAGTCCACCTAGGGGAGTTGGAAAACCCTGATTCCAAACCAATGGTGTATATGGGATCCAGTATCCTGAAGGAACAAATGGCGTATGAATCAATTGTTGGTCACCGTCTAACATGGTGCTGCATCTCCTGACGTTGCTCTAATGTCTTGTGGATTAGACCTTTAGGTCAAACTCTCCATGTGCGACCTCCTATGAAAACTATCTGTTTCGGTTCGGGCACCCTGACAGTATCCTAGCCCTCACACAAGTCGAATGATTTATGTGGCGCATATCTATTTGGTGTCTTCTTGTATCAATGTTTATGTGTTCAAAAAAAAATAAATTGACTCCAGGTATATCGTTTGCTGAGTGCTATTGAAACATACATGCTGCCAATTCTCGTATATAATCATCGACTTAAATCGCGTTAGCAAATAACGGAATTAAATATGTTAAATATGGTAGTGGATTTCAAATACGTATATTCTAATAGCAATCATTCAATAACGACCATTCGTTCGACCTAACTGGAGTCAGATTAAGAGCCACAAAAATCACTTGACTTGTGTGAGGGCTAGGGTCCTGTCAGGGTGCCCAAACCGAAACAGATGGTTTTCATAGGGGACCACACACGGAGACTTTGACCTAAAGGTCTAATCCACAAGGCAGTGTAGCAACGTCAGGAGATGCAGCACCATGTTAGACGGTGACCAACAATTGATTCATACGCCATTTGCTCCTTCAAGATACCGGAGCCCATTTACACCATTAGTTTGGAATCAGGGTTTTCCAACTCCCCTAGGTGTATCCTCAATATCCACCAACCTGGTTAAAGCGCCGAACATTCGCATTTCGTCCTCTCAGTTTCGTGAACAACACCCGTGGTGCGAGAATGCAGTGAGTATGACTTCCCTATCAGTGGTTGTATACACGTGGCCATTTGAGAGCATTTGTAGAGGGAGAGCGGACTCTCCCCACTCTTGGCAGTACCAGGGCATTTGGGAATCAAATCTCCGGGCCAGTAGAATCAAGGATTTTCGAATATACTCGCCTTCATTTAGAGGGTAAGTACAAAACCTTAACTGCAATATGAAAAAAAGTCGTTTGTGAATAGTAAAATTTGCTTTCTATCATTCAGCTTTATTTATCACACAACTAACTATCGAAAAAACCTCAAATTAGAAGGTGGACATAACAATGTGAAATTTAAATGGAGGACAAGGAGAGATAAGTTGCTACACCATATTATCAACACAGTAGGATGAAACTATCAAGACAGATAATGTTACAGAAATAAAAGTAGTAATAGTATCAGTGTCGATAGAAAAGACTACACACAGACAATACGATTGGCGAGAAATGATTGAGTATTTTAGGACAAAGGGTGAATGTGTTTGAACTATTTTGACCAATTATGAACCATATCTTCCAGTGACTTCAACCATTGGTTACGATAATCGCGTGAAACCTAATCAAGTAATCTATATATCTAGCATGACTTGAACCAACAGCCAATAACTTCCTGAAATGTTCTTATGTCCTGATTACGTTACTTCCAGGATTTCTTCCAAATACTCCTACACCAACTAATATCAAAAATCAAGGCAAATGGCAGTTGAGCTCATGCAATAAATGTCCGAACCATCTCAGTTAATAAAGAGTGTCCGCCTAAGAACTAGGACCAAATGAGAATTATAAACCAGTATGAGGAATTATAATTATAATTTATAGTTGATGGTTAAAGTTAAGAATTAAATTTAAGGGGTGGGATTCATCACCAACTGACATCAACTAAAATGCCAAAACTCTATTTAGTCAAATAGATGAGTGGATTTCGCGCCAAAATCCAAGCCTTGTTATCTTATACTTGATTAGTCCGTCCATAAATTATAATCTCGCTGACTTTCAATTTTCACTGTTTGTGTTAATTGTGATTATCTTCCTTTAAATTCCTCCTACACCAGTAGGTAGCGCACATCATGGCAGGTGATTATTGAGCATGCATAATACACGCAATAAACAACGTAGTCTAAAGACGTTACATAATATAGTTCATTGTTCTGGTATTTCCACCTTAGGATCTTACATTCAATATCAAATTTACTAATTTGTTAAACTGTTAAACTGAAATGTTTCATTACGTATGAACAACGTGATCGAGGTCATCTTGATTATCTTAGCCAAACGTTTGGAGTTGTTGGGTGACGTATTTCAGAATTGGTCACTTTTTGTCTTCCCATAAATATCGAGTTTTAAAACTATTTTGTATTGTTTATTCTGCGAATTTATTCTCATATTTTCTATGTCTAATCGTTTGTGCCTCTATTACTGTTATCACAATTGATTGATCAGTGGGTGGTGATCGATGTCATGTGTGTCAAGTTCTTTTTAGTGCAGATCGAATGCTATCGACCAAGTTGCAATGTGGCCACTAGTCTAGGTGACTCGACATGTCGTACACTATTTTGAGATAAGATGGTGGTTGGAAGTAGTCAACAGGAAATCCTGGACGGGATCGAGTCCGTCAAGGAGCATCAGTTCCCTCAAGATTACAGGTACACCTTACTGTCGAGTGCCAAATAGCACGAAGCTCGGGTTCAGGGTTTCCCGTTAACTACTTCCAACCACCATCTTATCTCAGCTGTTATCACCTTTATTACTACAGTATCTGCCTTGATCATTTCATGTTACTGTCTTGATATAATATGGCAAATTGAAACGATCCATATACGTGTCAGGTAATTTTCTTACAAACTCATATTCATAAAAAAGTTAAAAAAGAAACAAACAGATCAGTCTTGTCATCAACTTATTACTGTTGATAATTGGCGGGTTGGATAACTTGTAAAACATTGCTTATTCATTTTATTACAAACTAACACCATTTAATATATAATACAAGTTCATAATAAATATTAGTATGAATGGATTATGAAGATTGGTTTATATTACTATCTGATCTTAGAAAATCAGAAACTACTGAGCAGCTGATTCAACCCAATATGGGACTTCTCAAAATTGTATATTCATAACCAAACCGAGGGTCGAACTCAAGACCGTAGCTCCTGTCGTTAGTACTTAGCCTTAAACACATGAAACATTGAAGTTAAATTAACTGATTCTATGGTTAACCAGTCACAGTGAGACCTGAAGATTCTAAATTTAATCAGAAATGGGCTAGTGGATGAACACTGGGAAAGAAGTTTCAAACTAAGCTGAAAAAATTATCAAGCTTTTCTTTGTTTTCAATGATTGTTTAACTAAGGTTAGTACATGATATGAATGGTAGTTAATATCTTTTTTTTAAAAAAAAGTCAAGAAACTTACAAGATCATGGTTATAATTTTTAGATACTCCCTCCGTATTCACATTATTATTATTATTGTTACTAACTAGACAAGCTAGTTCATGATTCTGATCCAATCGATCATAGGTAAGATTTGCTGTTTGCATTAAAAATTTATGTGAAGTTGGTTGTGAATGTTGATAATGTCTTACAATTCCAATAGATTTATTTAATCTATCATTGGTAGTGTCATTTGATGGACTAACAACATCTTCAACATTATCATCATCATCACCATCCATTATAACATCAACTGATGTATCACTATTTCTACTAGTCTCTTTATCCAATTCATATTGATTCGTTGAATAATCATTGATATTATTAGTATTGAATGTATTTAATAATGATAATTTTGAGTTTCTTGATTTTCTATCTGATTTATAATTAATCAATACATTATTATCATTTACTTCATCATTATCATTATCATTATCATCATCATCGCCATCGTTTTCTTCAAACTCTTCTACTTCATGTATAATATTTGATTCTGAATGTTCTAAACGACGTCGTAATTCTGCAATAACACTATGTAATTCAGTTAAACGATCTTCATAACGTGATACTTGATTAGTTAATTCATTGCGTAATTGTTCTTTTTCACGTTGTAAACGTTGTACTTCACGATAATTCATATCTCGACTTGTCTATAGTTAATTAGTGAACAAAAGTATATATGTATAAAGTCAAACTTGATTGACATTATTAATAATCAAGTGAAATAAGAAATGGTTATTATGTATCCACCATAATTTAAAGTCCCCGGTTGCCCCCAAATGCCCTGGTACGGTCGAGAGTGAGGAGAGTCAGCTCTCCCTATTCAAATGCTTTCACATAGCCACGTGCATAAAACTACTGACACGGAAGTCACGGGTGTTGTTTACCGAGTTGATAGGAAGAAATGCGAATGTCCGTCAGGCGCTTTAACCGAATTGGTGGACACGGAGAGTCCACCTAAGGGAGTTGGAAAACCCTGATTCCAAACATGGTGAACATGGGTTCAAGGATCCTAAGGAACCAAATGGAGCATGAATGAATTGTTGGTCACCGACTACCATGGTACTGCATCTCATAACATTGCTCCACTGCCTTGTGGATTAGACATTTGGGTCAAAGTCTCAGTGTATGGCCCCCTATGAAAACCATCTGTTTCGGCTTGGGCACCCAAGCAGTATTACAGCCCTCACATAAATTGAATAATTTATGTGGCGCATAACTGTTTGGTGCATTCTTGTACCAATGTTTGTGTGTTTAAATCTATAAATAATAAGTCTCAGTAATTTATAGTTGATAACTGAGTCATGAAGAAAACCAATGAAATAGGGTAGTTGTTTGAAATTCGAAGCAATAGCTCAATAATTAAAGTATTTAACTTTTGATTTTTGGAGCATTTGGTACGGTTCATGGATACTTCAAATGTATGCGGAATTATGAACTGGATTATTAAATGAAAAAAATATTGAACAATCATATTATTTGGTACTTTGATATAATAGGCTATTTTGTTTAGTACATATCTTTTCACATCTAACTAGATCAATGAAAGCATAACAGATATTTTTCCCGAAATATACGTTTTTCCTGGTTACTGGTTTATTATGCTCATTATCGCCTAAGATCATTGACAATATTCTTAAATGACATGATCTATAAATATTTAAATAATTTAGGGTCGTTCACAATAAAATGGAGTGGCTATGTATTTTGGAAAACTCTGAGTGTATTAAAATGTTAAAAAAATAAATTAGTTGAGGTTAATAATGACACATTGATCGTTCTTCTCGTATATCATGGACGGATTTCCATATCCTGAAAAATGTATCAAGCCACTGATAACCACAGAGTACCATAAAGGATGGTGTGGAAGCAAGTTAGAGATATGTCCAAGAGAAATAAGATGGTATGATATTAGTTGGTAGTAAAGTCAGGTTTTTAAATGTCTGAATCTTCTGAACACCTATTAGCGTACTCTTGTGCGGACATCCGTTTCTATATAAAACTTCTGTCTACAATGTTTCTATCAATCAATCATCATTTACTCGAGAGCTGGTAATGATATGCGAAGAGTTGACGTTCACCCTCTGATAACATACTAGAAGGAAACTTCTTGTTGAGAAACGTTAGTTATGAATAAGATCAATATTGGTGGTCATTACAATTTTGGAATGTAGTTGTTATTAATTGTGTTAAGTCTATAGCTTCAGATCCGTGGATAAATTTGGAATATGGTATTTTTAGGGCCACCACTCGCTGACTACTCTTTCTGTCTGTGAAAAGCTACAATGCCTGAAAATGCTGGTTAACCTCCGGGAACATCTCACGACCATTACACTTTAGTACAGATGGTGGCATGACTAATTTCTCATGAGCATAATGCTGTGACATTGTAAGTCTTAACCGAATGTGTGTTCTTTTAAAAAAATGATAATTCACGCTGTGATTTTGGGTAGCCTACTTTTATGAGGGTTAAATAGGCTACATGAAGTTGACAAATAAGTTATGTATAAACCGGATGGTTTATGCCAAATATACATTCATCGGACTTCTGTTAAAGAACAGGTAACTTATAGGTACTGATACATTTACAAGAAGTTTCTGTTTCAAAGCTATTTATCATAGAAATAGGATCAGGCATATGTTAGAAAGAAACAGGGTCGATAAAGAATGAACCTTTAAAGGTAAGAGAAGAACACTCATTAAAAATTACCTGTAACCCTTGCAGTCTGTGAGACAGATCACGAATTTCGGAACGTAATTGAGCCGTCCGTTGTACATGTAGAGTATTCGCACATTCAAATAAGTGTCGAACATGATCTAAAAAGTGATTTGACTCAACTTCTTTTGATTTTATACCAAATGATTCTGCTTCTATGTGCCTTGGCAAATTACTTAATTTATCTACAGACTGAATATTTATTGCATTAGTCAGTTTTTGATTCTGTAAGTCTTTTGTAGAATTATCCATATTAGTGACAGATAATAAATTGAATTCATTTGTCATTGTATCATTTTCAAAATTATTTCTTATTGAATTCAAAGGTAATGGAAATATAATTTTATATAAATCAGGGAAATCACGTTGCATTAACAAGTGTAAACTTTGCGGTTCACCACAAAGATCTTGAGCTCCAGAATCATATTCTGCGCCTAAGTAAATCAACGAAAATGATAGAAAATTTTGAAAAGTTAATAAAACAAAGTACAACTCCGTCAAATAAGTTACAGTTGAAGTGGAAGGTGATAATTAATTCCATTTCAAGCGAATTCTAATCAAATGAATATTGTTAACGATAATTAAATACTAAAGGTTATAAAGTATTTATAGAGATGTAGGAAGATTGCATTATTAACAATATTAATTTAGACGCTGGTACAGAAGTGTAGATGACTAAAATTTGTCGGTCGCTGGAGTAATTCAAGGTAAATTATTTCTGAGGAGACCGAACTAGTAACAGACTTAGTAGTGACGTTTTGTTCAACCTTAGTGGACAGTCGTGGGGCGAAGGAGCAACTGTCTGAGATCGGTTGTACATAACACTTTCGTTCCCAGGTCTGTACACTTCTATAGGCAAATACGAGACGTGCTACTTCGATGTCTTGCCTTTTCTGAATAATGTCGAATGGATAGCACAATTGCCAACAATACTGGATGTCCATGGAAAATACTTTACTGTTGCCACACAACCTAATATACTCGGCAGTCCTACGTCGCTTTTTAACCTTATATTTGCTGTAACCACTATCCAAATGACCTGGATGACATGGTTAAACATAAAAAGAAAATCGTTCCACTTAACATAGACACACGTTGATATAAAAGCACGACCAACACGGTCAAGAAAGACAGACAAAGAATTGATCAAATCTTATAACACAAGATTTTGACCCGAAAATATCTGGATAAAAGTATTTGAAAACATGCTTACTTTTTTGCTGAATCTAACTCATCTAATAAACAGATATTTGTACAGAGAGTAATAAAGCCCAAATGATTGATAAAACTTATTAGTCCCTTTTAAGTTTATGTCCTAACCACTCAGAAATATCTACCATGCTTCGACAATAAGGATTTATCTATACACGAGAAAAATGTCTTGAATGTAGATTTCAGAACTAAGTATTATTTTTACATATTCCCAGAATAAATTACAATCACATCCGCATATGTTTTCAGAAAATAGGAAACGTCAAAGTTCTTCTGTGAATGTAAATCAGGATAAGAAAGTTGATATGATACTAAGCAAAATAATATATACTTGAATGCCATAATACCATCAGTGTTTACCAAGAAACAGAAGTTTAAATTTGTTGACATAGACTTATTAATGCTAATGAGTTCCCTTCTATAGGATTCTATTTCATGCATTACTTTCATCAGTTTATTCAACTTATGCTTGACTGCAATGAGTCAACAGAATGAGGCTCAATTACCTAACATACTGATATTTATTAAACTACCAATGATATTTAAAACGATTAATAACACAATAAAAGGTAGAAACTCCGGACTATACTACCCTGTACAAAACAATTGCTAAGTTTGTTTGTTTACTTAACCATGCACTGGCTGAACAAATTCTTCGGAAAAATGCCCAGCAAAATATTTTGGAACTGTTGGTTGAATTTGCTTTACAGTGGATTGCTTTAATAAGCAATATGTTCAATGACGTAACATTTTAAGTCTCAAAAGCCTATACAGACGGTCTTGGGTCACCAAAACAGGATGTAATCAGTAAACGCAGTTAAAATAGTACTTGAGGTTAGCTTTAGAGTTAACTAATATCAACTGGTTGACATCATATCTTGTTACAACTCGCTACATTGATTTAATATGAATACAGTATCATGCATCAAAAGAAATTGTGAGCACCAAACTTAAATATTGTTTCAAACCAGGGTTATTTTTGTCAGTAAAACACAGACTTGTTGTTACCTAGCAGCAAATGCTTTAATCACTCTCTATCATTAATTGACAGTTACTTCTCTCTAGTAAGTAAGGCATCCGTAACATGACGTTTAAAGCTCTAAATAGGATGACTGTGCTACAGATGGTAATAGAAGTTACATGATGCCTTTTTACTACACGGAAAACTGGGTTCACTTGCGACCTAAATGAAGTCGATTACAATTTATCCCGATTCTCCCGAGATAACGAAAATCCTGACACTTAAACTCACTCATTATTAACAACAGTGTGTTAGAATAAATTCCGTTTAAACTGACCAAAATACAGGTATTTTTACAAAATCTAACCTGAGTTAACAAGGCTGGTTTCGCTGGCAGAACTCTCGAGATTGACATTTTCGTTCATTTTGCGAACAGAGTTTTCATTCACTTCTTGTCCATTATTTTTAACCTCTGTATGCAATTTGCCAGTTGTGTAAACGGGCCAACTAAATCCAGGTTGCTTATGATTTAGATGATGTGGTAAACCAGATCTTGAGAAATATATATTATCCGCTTCAGTTTGCATCTGAAAAACTTTTTCACGACAGCTAAGGAACTCATCAAATGTAATGCACCCTTTAGTGTTAGCGCCAAATGTGTTTATAATTTCCTCGGCACATTCAGCCATGTTTAGTTTCTTACACATATTGTATAAGTCTTCACAATCTAAGCACCCATCATTATTTGAATCACAGCTTAGAAACAATTGTCTCAGTCTTTCTTCTTCCCCTGTACTGCTACTATCGCTGCCACTAGATTTTATAACTCTTTGAATACGGAATAAATACTAACCTGCTTTTCTGATCAACACATTGTATGTCACACATATCATGAAAATTGGAAGCCATTCAAACCCAGCGCTAGTAGCATTTGCGGTCGATAACTGGGCATGAAAATGAACTCTCAAGGCTATGATGGTTATGACGCATTTAAACGTTGATGTATGCCAAGTTGTTTGCAAATAAATTTGAATGTTTCGTAACTTTTTGAGCATTTGTATCATCTTTAAGTGAAAGCAGTCAGATTCGTCATGAATTTCAGCACTCAGTGAATGTAAGATGTATTGTACTAGTCACAGGTCACGGTTGCGAGATTTTAATTATTTATGTAAACTTTCATGCTGTCGAATAAAAAGCCAATGTTAGTGACTGAAAAGAGCTATCATCTGGTGTCTCTCAACATAACTGCTTTTAGGGATAATGTCCTGAGGCATCTACGCGCGCTTTTCAAACGGAAAGCTGACATGATTTACATTTCTCAAACTTTTGCTGTGTTCTTACGCAACAAAAGTGCCATTTCCGATCTAAAGAACCTATTCGAAGCCATGCGCTCGGTAGATTACTTTTTTTCGAGTTTCACCCAACTTAACAGTTAACTAGGAAAACAGTAACGGTTCGTGATGACTCTTCCATTATCATGAACCTCAAAGACAACCCTGACATTCCTCTCAGTTTGCAGAACAAAAATGATAAGATGCTCTGGGGAAAATTGAACAAGGAGTTCGAACATCCTAGAATAGAGCCTTTGACGGTCACATGGCTCACTCGGGGAACGGAATCTAAGCATCAAAATCACCCCAGGCTACTTCATGTAACACTTAAGAATGATACCGACGTAGAGGATGTCCTGCTAGCTAGTCATTTATTGGGATCCGGAAGGAACGTAAGAGTACTGCCTGATATACCGTATTCTGAGCGCAATCTCATCCGAAACATCCCTGAAGAATCTTCCGCGGAAGAAATATCTTTGTGCAAGGTGTACCGGAAAACACGGACCCTAGTCAAGCAAACTGTGATATTAAGGAATGGAAATATATCAAGCAGCCCTTGAGGCTCAAAAACATACTGACTCAACGTTTGACGAGACTAGCCAAGAAGGACGGTGATTCTAGACCCCGGCTAATGAAGATAACTTTCCCATCCTCCCATATGGCGGCTGCAACCTTGGAGGCCTTTCGTACCAACAGACGTCGGTTGCCAGCTGGAACCCACACGCACCCGGATGGGCCATATGAGGCTAGGACCGAGCATAAAGGCAAGTTGGAGCTTAACATTCTACTTGTGGACTGTCTCGATGATAAAATAACGTGTAAAGGACAGGGCCTACCAATTCGGCAAACCTTATATGAGTGGGCTACTTGTCTATTCACATGAGGCTCATACAAACAAACAGGAAGAAGCTCACGCGTTTCAAATTGAAAGCATAAACTGCTTGTACATGAACGCTGCGAGTCCACTAAATAAAATGGATGGGCTATGTGAACTTAGCAATGCTAATAATGCTCATCTGATAGGAATATCTGAAATTGGATAACTTCTCAGTTCACGGACCAGGAACTAGCAATACCTGGGATGTCTTTGTTTCGTAGCGACGGGAAAACAGGAATCGGGAGTAGAGTAGCCGTATACATACGATCCTGCCTGGAGGAAACCAAGTTCACAACCATGAGTTTAACAATCTTGATGAATCTGTATGGTGTTCGGTAAGATTATCTACCACTTCGAGGTGCCTAGTCGGGATCATCTATAGGAGGCCCACTGCTGACGTCAAGTATGACAGTCGTATGCTGGAAGGACCTCCCAGCTCTACGCGTCTCGGATTCACTCATATCCTGGTTCTAGGGAACTTCAGTCTCCCTAGAGTCAATTTCGTGTAACATACGTATATTGGATGTGAAAACTCAACTGAATCTCGGTTCTTCAACCTCATTGAGGATCTGAGATTATACGAAAATATGAAGTCGGCAACTCGTTGGAGAAGCAGTCAGATAACGTCACGCTTAGACTGGGTTTTTACAAACGAAGAATTTTTAGTTGACAACCTTTCAACCCTGGCTCCCATGGGTAACAGCGATCACGCCATTATAGCCTTCAGTCTCCTTGATGATTTTCTTTCCGAAAATGGATTGTGTCCCCTATTGAATATCAATGTGTTTAATAGTGATTTATACAAACAAGGTCCGTCATCCATCTAATTGACTGAAAAGCAAAATGTGAAATTTGAAATTTTACACGTCTATTTTATTTTATTTCTGTTCATCTTAATATATGAAATCTGCTCGTGTTCGTATTTATAATAATAATTATTATAATTATTATTATTATAATTATTCCTAAACTAAAAACCAATTATCTCACTGTACGCTTGAATAAATTAACTTCTCAGATTCATTTTATCACTCCCATATATATAACATAGAAATTTGTATTTGATTATCCTGTGCAGTTAATTGTGGCCTTCATAGCATCATTATTAATTATTATTGCACAAAATTTTCTATTAATACCCGGTTTCACTTGTATACTAATACATGAAACTAGATGTATTTATCCGAGCGCAGTGAATGATTTTTTTATCTTGCTTTATTTTCTTTTGTTTTCTTTAAATTGCTGATGTACTTCAGAGGTTGATGTTCATTACACAATAATTATTATCATGGTTGAACCCTTTCAGTTCTTTTATCTTTTTTTCCCATCTAAATAAATATTTTTCTGAATTTTACGTAGTTTGTAATTAAGACAATTACTTGTGTTACGCTTAAATTAACTTCTCAGACTCGCTTTATCTTCACTATGTATATATGACTCATATATATTGATATTTCATTATCCTTTTCACTAAATTGAGACTTTCATAGCATCACTCCAAAATATGACTGCACAAACATTTATTCTATCGTCATATCTTACTGCAGTAATAAGTTATTTTTTCTTAACTATTTTATTTTTTATATTGTTTTATTTCTTACCAATCTGACGATACATACGTAATCGTTTATTCTTGTTCTGTGTTCATAAACACGCCTATTAAACTGTTTGCGTATTTCACGTCTCCTTTATTTCTTATCCCTTATTTTCTTCCTTTTCTTCTTGGAGCTCAACTCAATATTCTTCTCAAATACACAGAATCTGATTCATTATTATTATTCTCTTTTTCAAATATGGTAAATATGATGCTAACATTATTGAAACTTGTGTATTATTACATTTTTGAAGAAACCCGAAATGGTTTCTTCACAACAAATATGTACCCATAAGATTTTTGTGAATGATAATAATAATAATACCCCACCAACAACTGGCGCTGTAATTTCAAATGGTTGAATGTGTCAGCTTTACAGGACTATCTACAACGGGTGGATTAGGATGTTCATTCTCAATTTGGTGTGGATGCTCATTGGTACTTCTTACTGCACACGCTCTTATATGCTACAACGCATTCAGTTTCTCAAGCATCCTTGATCGCAAGGAGAAGGTTGATATCATTTACCTTGATTTCTTAAAAGCATTTCACAGAGTCAACCATATATGTCTTATCAATAAGCTCAAACTATTGGGTATCAGACGACCTCTAATTGACTGGCTCTCTTCATAGGGTTAACTTCAAATTATCTCAGGCTATGAAATGTCCTAGTGAGGTCCACCTAGGCTCAGCACTAGGGCCCTTTCCCTTCTTGATTTATATAAATGGTCTCCCACAACAGGCATCGTCAGACATTACTTTTTGCTGATAACGTGAAACTTTGGAGAGAGATATGCAACCAAGAGAGTATACAGGGACTTCAGGAGGATCGGACTCGACTTCAGAGTTGAGCAGACGATAACGGACTTACCTTGAACACTTCAAAGTGTAAAGTAGTCCATCTGAGACATGTTACAAACTACAGTTACAACTTAAGAAACTCCTCTCTAGTAGTATCCCAAGTCGAAAAGTATTTAGAAGTCCTAGTACCTTACAACTTGAAGTCTTACGCTAAGTGTGACAGAAATGCCTTTCGGGCAAACCTTGCACCGGTAACATTGAGGCGCATTTCTGGCCAGTTTGACGGAAGAACTTTCCACATAATCTTCAGCAGTTTTATTCGTCTCCATTTAGAGTAAGAAAACATAATATTTCTTCCCTCACTCCAAAAGGATAAGGACACTCTGGAGCGTCTCCAACGGCGAGCCAGGAAATTAGTTCGGGGACTCAAATTCAAACCTTACAAAGAGCGCCTCCAGTCACTCAACCTTTACCCATTACAGTATAGGCGTATTAGAGGTGACCTTCTAATGGCTTACAGTATCATTAACACTTCTGGATATCCCCTTAAACACCTACTTAAGCTTAGTCCCAATACAAACCTAAGGAGTAACACCCAGAGATTGAGGATAGAACATAGCAGAACGGACTGTAGACACTACTTCTACTCCTTAAGAGCTGTCGAATGCTGGAATTCGCTGCCAGCCGAGCTAGTCCAAGCTGCCGGTCAGGAGTCCTTTAATAGGAAACTTGACCTATTCTTAAGGACTAAGGATAACATCTTATTATGATTTACCGATTTCTTTTCTTTTTTCCTCTATTGTCGTTAATATACCTAGGTTCCTGCCTGGGGGTATTGGTGATCAACGGCTACTAGACATGGAGGGCCGTTAAGCGAAAGCCTCTTCTATTCCGTCCACAACCGTCTGAACCATTTGAACTGTCACCATTTGTTATGAGAGATACAATCTCCTAATCATATGGTCGAGACCATGTTAACAGAGGATCCAATAGTACCAAGGACGTGTCTTAGTCTTTTACTAGAACTGCGACTTATAACCGCCTTTGTTATTGTTTAAATATGTGCAAGCAAGCCTTAACGTGTGCCAAAATGGGTTGCCAGGTAATTGTGTTTCGTTAATCATCAATGATATTCTGGACGTTTTCTAGTTGCTTTTTGTTGCTAGCTAAAGTTCTTCACTGTCACTTATAAACGACCCGGGACCAAAAATGGTTAGAACTGGTAGTCACCTGCGGTGGTAAAAGATATCGTGAATGTTAAACAAATCTTAATTTGTTAAAAACGCAACGGCGAAGAAAAAATATATTGCCACGTACCATCAAAAAGCTGGGCACCCTGATAGGCCAAAGATGTTTTGAAAAACGACGCTTAGCGTTGTTGACCTCATAGGATAGTGTATATCGATACATTGCATCGGCTGTCTTGTAATAAAGCGCCCTACATATGCTGGAGAAAACATGTAGCGGTAGATCTTGGTGCAATTTTTAGCCAATCCTTTGGATATTTGGACGATGCTCTGTTTCAATCATAAAACATGACCGTGGTGAGACAGAATCAATCCGGCCATGTTTGCAAGTACATCATTATGTCTGCTTACGGCTTTTGGTGGTCTAGCAGGATGTAATTGGCCAATGGTATTGATATTATTTTCCCATCTCAACTACTTCTCGACTTTTTTTGTCTTTGAAATGGTTTCACTGCCTAGCGAGAAATCTTATTTCAAGTTAAATTGGACAACAACGCCAAAATGGGTCCCTCTCATGACTTTATAAAAGCGACAATAATGGCTATCGAAAAATCTCATTTACATATCCAGACACTATCTATTTCACTACATGTAAGAGATCTACATAATCCAAAAATTTTCAGTTTTTTTGAATCTTCTTTACTCGTACAGATTTTTATTCATTCCTTAAAATACTATTAGTATAGTTTCTTCAAACTGTTGAAATACACCTATGTAAAAATTGACTTAGAAACAGAAATAAGTTTAAGTTATCGTACCTAGGTTTTCTCACCACAAACGACTCGACGTCTTCGGTCGTGAACATTATCTCCATAAATACAAAAGTAGAAAAGCAAATAAGCCTACTTGACATAAATGGTAATAATAAGTTATTTTCAAATGTCTATGTTACACGAAGTATGGCAGTTCACTGGTAAGATCAATCGGCTGACCACCTTGGGTCTTAGTCGAGAAGATGTACTTTGTATTTTGAGTTCAAAAAACGAACTCCACTGGATAAATTGCACTTTAAAATTGTGAGATGGACTGCCTAGTACATTGCTGCTACACTTACAAAGAAATTCAATATGTAACTTGGCCAAGGTGAGTTACTCATGGACTGGAAGGATGCAACTGTCACTACAATTCATACTACAGGATCAAGACAACCTGCGTTGAACCACAGACCTGTCGGCCCTACCAGTGTCGCAGTTAAAATACTGATAAGAATAACCAGTAAATCCATAATGTCATTCATAGAAACCAATGACTTGGCAAACAGTGAACACCATGGGTGAGTAGTGGTCAGCCGTGTGACCCGGAACGGCACACACAAATTAACAGAATTGCCGGATGATAGATAACCGATAGATGGTTTCTACAAAGACTTCAGAAAAGAATTTGATATGGTGCTGACTAATATATTTGAACGTGGCACAGGTATTTGGATTTTGACGGCGCATTAACACGCAACACTTCAGTAATGGAGTTATATAAATCCGGTCGAATCAGAGGCCAGAAATGAAGGGGGTCGAAGATGTAGTTGGAGGGCAATCGATATGTCGGGAAGCGTTTGGTTTAAGTTGGCTGACAGATGCAAGGGATTCATAGCACGGCTTACACACTCGTGATCTAGTGAGGGTGCGTGATTCAACGTCTTCGGCTAGGTGTTTCTTGTAAAACCAATGAGGCCAGTATCAATTTCGAAGACTTACAGAACTATCTACTTTATGGATTTGTTTACGGATGTGGATTATTCTGAAAAGTCTAGGGATTGCCGGACCTCTTCTAAAATGGGTGAAATATGCCCTTATATGTAATAAACAGAAAGTGTAGTTCAGTCTCCAAAGTTACGCTGATGATGTAAACATATGGAGGGGAATAACAGGAGATCCAAGTTAATGTGCATTTCAGGCGGCTTGTATAAAACTTGGTTGATAAATAGGAATACGTTCAACAGTGTCAACGTGCACATTCGGGATACAAAGGCAATATGTACATGGCAAGAGAAGAGTCTGGTATCACAATGATCTTGAGTTAACAATGGGCAATGATCTCGAGACCACGGCCGATTACCACGCGGTCACAGCTATTGAGTTCATGATATTATGAGGTCTAAAGCGGATATTTATTAAGTTGTGTACTGATATGTCATTGCGGTATATAAAACCTTAGTGACATCCAAACTTTAAGAAGCCTTCAAGCTCCTGTCTTAAGTGACTCGAATTTCGTGAAAACCATGAAAATGGCAGCCAAACATACAGATTCTGTACTCCGGGGTATACAATACACAGAGAAGTTTGAGATGCCAAACTTCTCTACTCTGTACCCCCGCAGATTAGGAGGTGACTTGATCTTGCTGTATGGAATACCAGGAAACGATTTAAGATCTGATATATCTTCTCTCTTCATTCTTAAAGATCCCGAACACCAAGAGGACATAGCAAGTGAGTTCAAACACGTTTTCACACCGAGCCATAAATTCGTCGAACCTGTGGTGGACCAAACAATATATAAATGCAAAAGTATCAACAAAGTTAATAACAATCAATAGTAATATTAATATTTACAAGTTAAATGTTACAAATACAATAACAAATTAGGGACGTTACTTAAATCGGCTAGTCGTTGCGTGTTCTGTTGAGTTTTGGTCTCAAAAATCCACAATTATAAATGCGTAATAATTCCACAAAGGTAAATATGACGCCAATAAGTTTCTTCGACGTAGGATATAATGGGAATGACCCTGCAGTCTGAAATGAGGATAATATCCAGTTTAGAACGCAATTGACTTGGTAACGAACGACAATAGAACAATGGGTATGTGTGTAGTAGTGTATTTGTGAACAACCGAAAAAGTGTGTCACGCTATGTTCGAATTACAACGGAAAAAGTGTTCAAGGTCGTTGACTAAAACAACACGTACAGTCATTTAATGATAAATGTACATACAGTGAAAAATTGACAAAACAAATAGAAATAACATTGAAAACTATTTACAAAATAAGCTTGTCAGGTCTATCTCCACAAACCCATTAACAGAAGCGGTGTCCATATAATCATTTGACTTATTCAAAAGGAAAAAAAACACTCTCAGAAGCTTAATAGAAAAGGATTAATGCAGACCATAGCTTTTGGCTTCAATACACAAATCTAAATCGTTTATGTACATTGGATTTGTTTAACTATATAGTTTTTCCCAGCAAACTTACGAAAGTGTAAACATCAGTTTACACTTTAATGAATGTTATATTTAGTATTTGTTTAATACATTTGGCTGCTGGTTAGTGATTGCTTTTTCATTATTATTGCCTTTAAACGAAATAAAGTTCACCATTTGCTTTTTAAAAGAAAAACACACCGTGGTACAATGAGACCGGAAACAAAACTGTACTGTTAGTCTTCCTTTCTATTTCAGTTGAAAACTGAGCAGTGATCGATTCAAAAATACAAGCCTGTAAACACTTGGTGTCGCTAGAGATTTCTGTTCATTTTTAAAGATATGAAACTGTTCCTTAGCTACGAGACGATCGACTCGAGTCTTTCGAATGTATTGGATCCATTAAAACTGCTTAAGACTATCTTCAGAGCCTTTTCTGTTTTGAAGAAGTCCAATTATGTTGATACCAAGTGAACGAATCAAATATTTTGGCAGAAAGGCATATTCAATACCAAATTTTTTGTCTTGCACTCATGAATTTTTTATCGGGGAACAAAAGGAACAAAGCACATCGGTTGTACAGTATCTTTGAGAATTCCTGGCCCTACTTAACAGAGGTGTGTACCTTAATGTTAGCTGAGTCGGCTGATAATGCATTACATAGTGTCCATTATGGGATTTTCGACTTTAGTATTTACTCTTTGGTAAACAAGTTTGAGCGAAATCTTTTCTTCTTCATCAAATAAGACCGGTTTGTTAAGACGAGTCTGGTATACCAGATAGTAGGTATACTTATGCAAAATAAACCCAACTTATAAATATATATGTATTATAAGACTCACCATGGTTTAAAGCAACTATCAGGACTGCCTAAGGTCGGTAAAGTTACGTAGTTGTCTTTTTAGAAGAGCAAGACTTCTCTAACCATTCTATCATAGCTTTCGTAAGGTTTATTTTCCTGTTATTACTAAAAATTAGCCTCATTGTGATTGTCCTGTCACATTTTCCATAACATGCTTTGCGAGTTAAAGATTTCGGCACTGTGTGAATGTATGCAACTGATTAGAACGGCCTTAATTTCTATTTATCAGCCTTATAATTTAGGTTCTTCCATTTGTAGGATGAAATTCGTTAGTATATATAAAATAGTCAAATCACATCGTTGTCCATTCAAGAAACATGTAAAACTCCCCAATAAATAACTTGTGTTATTTTTGACTGTATAGTGTGTTTGGTCAGATACGGTTGAGTAGTTGTGGCCTTGTGTCAGTAACACAGATTAGTCATGAATAATGTGTAGGGTAGTGGAAAAGTTTACTGCCTATTAAAACTTCAGTTTTTTTGTTAGAAGCTAATGGATTAGTTGTTTCCGCATACTTTTGAAGGGACTAAGAAGTTAGTCCGAGGTAGTAGTAGTAATAATAGTAGAATCAGTGTAAAATCTAAAGTTTCAGTCTAGATTTCTGTCACCTCGGTATGGTAAAAAGAACCAGAAAATATCTCAGGGCAGCAAGAGCACTATGAGCAGTACCTGAATAAAAGGAACTTAAGAAGCTAGAGAATAAAGCAATATGTAAAATGAAGAAAGAATTTCATTACTACACTCCACACCTTAACTAGTTTTAGGTTGTCCTGTTTTAGCCTATAATCATAAACTACTGTGGACAACAGTATAAACATTTGAGGACAAACCAACAGTAATTGATGCCACTAACCGCCATTTGCTTTTTACCGTCCTTTGTCATCTTAGAGCTTCCCACAATATCCAGTATAACATAGTGAAATAAGTTGATGGCGAAATATGCGTAACGCGTGTTCTGATAAGCATAGTCATCAAAAGATAAATAACCCTGTTGCCCAAATTATATGAGATCCATTTGGTTTTCAGCTAAATCACTGTTCATTCAAGCACTACATTGTTGTAAAAAACAAAGTGTCTGTTTAATAGCAGTATTTCATGCTAGGTATTACTAATTCATATGCACTTCTAAGACAAACCAAAGCCGTCTTTATTCACTTTACTAAAATATAACGGTTCTTCTGTGAATTTGTCAATGGGATTATTTATACGACAATTTTAAGGCGAACCTACCCTATGAGTTAGGAAAAGTCCCTTGTTTCAGTCAACTTTTTTGATGCCCTAATATGAGTATTGATTCATTATTTAAGGAGTCCACAGTGAGCGATTACATTTCTGTTACAAGCCTTAGTATTTCCTCGTATTATATATTATTTGGACAACCAATATATGTATTTTCTTGTTGTTACTGATAGTACTACTGTTTAGGATCTTTTGCCAGACACCTTGTTGATTTCATCTCACTATGTTAATGTGTCATGCAAACTCAGTTTTTAGTACACCTATATCTAGCTTTATGTTGAATGTGACTGGCTGACCGTCAAAATGAGCATCATAAAACCTTTATCTTAAGTAACTGACCATCAAGAATAGTCTTGAAATTGTATAAATATCCACTTTTTCTCCATGTATTATCGTTGCCTAGAAGATGGATAAAATGTTGACTTTTTTTCGTTTTCCTAATTGTTTGAGTTACTGTATCAAGTTTAAATTGGAACAGTACAGCTTTGATTTAATAGTGTTTACGATACGTTTATTCATTGTGTTAACTCTTGCATCCATCATTGTGTTGATATTTCGACTTTTGCTGTTAGATCAAGGTCACATTACTTCATATTGTACACAATGTTACCCTACAAAGATGAATGATTTTTGAAAAACAAAGTTCTTCCGAAGAATTCTCATATTTGAATTATTCAATTATTTTGTTTATATATTATTTTTATTAATTTTAGAATTTATATCAGCTGAATTGTACTGTTATTCTTGTACAAGTGCTCAATCAGGTTGTGGTGATCCAATTGATGTAAGATTAATTCATTGGAAGAAATGTTCTGGTCGAGCATTGATTGAAAATTATTGTGTAAAATTAATCGAAAAAGTTCAAGGTATATCTAAGAAGGATGTGTGTTCACTCGTTTGTTATCCATTGATATATATATATATATATATATATATATATATATATATATATATATATATATATATATATATATATATTACTTATGCATGTTACACCTGGTGGAGAAGCATAGGCCACTCATCAGCATTCTCCATCCAACCCTGTGCTAGACGATTCTTTCCAATTCTTTTCGGTCTCTATTCATCCTTTTAATGTCTGCTTACAATTCTCGACGCGGTGTGTTATTCAGTCTTCTTTTCGGTTTCCCTTCAGGATTCCAAGTTAGCAATTACCCTGTGATGAAGTCTGTTGATTTCCTCAGTGTATTTCCTATCCAACTCTAAATTTCCTCTTTAGGTGGAAGTTAGTTTGTTATCTTCCACAAAAGATTGTTTCTGATGGTATCCAGTCAACAAAATAGACCATCTTGCGTAGACAACAGTTCATAAATACTTGAACCTTTTTGATGGTGTTTGTGGTAGTTCTTCATATTTCAGCTCCGTACAGTAGAACTGTCTTGACGTTCATGGTGAAGATTCTGAGTATGATATCGGCTGACAGTTATTTTAAGTTCTGTATAAATAATTCCCGGAAGTTACCATCCATTTTTTTCTTCGTTCGGATAATCTTTGTTCACATTTGTGATTTATTATCTTGTTATGTTATAAACTGTGTTATACTGAAGGGCTTTAGTAGATTACTAAAATTTTTTCATAGATGTCATTGAAGAGTTACTCGCTAATGGAATAACAACCGAGTAAATAAGAAAGAGATCAGGTATAGTATAATAGATAAAAAAACACATGACATAACATTTGATAAGTCTGGGATTCTTTATTGACCAATGTAAGTGAGACATATGTTTATTTCAATGTATAATACTATCTTGATTAAGCGGTTGTTGCATCAAACCCAAGCACTAACAAGTCAGTACTTGAAACCAGTTCAATAAATGATCAATGATTAGCTTGAGAAATATTGAAACGTATAGGCTACTTGCTTAGTATTGACCCAATAGTTCCTATCATGAGTTCTAGATCATGATTCAATATTCTTCCTTACATTTTGCTCTCTTATTTTATGTGTTCTATTCAAACTAATTGTTCCACACTTAGTTTCTCTGTATAATAGTGAAACAGTGTTTGTGAATAATCTTGTTGATTTTATCCTATTTTATTGATGTAGTACTTTAGGCTTTAAACTGATAATATACCAACTAATAAACAGTTAGAAATGAGTAATTCACATTTGCACAATTCATCTATTCGTCAAAATTTAACAAGCAAGAAGTTTTGATGATTATCAAGTAGGCACCTGCTCGGTTTGAATCTTGCTTTTACACAAAGGGAAAAGCAAGATTCTCCGACACAACACAGCATGCACCAATCCAATCACAATTGACGGAGAAGATTTGGTAGATGTAAAAACCTTTACATATTTGGGCAGCATCATTGATGAACAAGGTGGATCTGATGCAGATGTGAAGGCGCAGATCGGCAAAGCAAGAGCAGCATATTTACAACTGAAGAACATCTGGAACTCAAAGAAACTGTCAACCAACACCAAGGTCAGGATTTTCAATACAAATGTCAAGACAGTTCTACTGTATGGAGCAGAAACCTGGAGAACTAGGAAAGGCATCATCCAGAAAATACAGGTGTTTACTAACAGTTGTCTACGCAAAGTACTTCAGATCCGTTGACCGGACACTATTAACAACAACCTACTATGGAAGAGAACAAACCAGATCCCAGCGGAGGAAGAAATCAGGAAGAAGCGCTGGAAGTGGATAGGACACACATTGAGGAAAGCACCCAACTGCGTCACAAGACAAGCCCTCACATGGAATCCTCAAGGCCAAAGGAAAAGAGGAAGACCAAAGAAGAACACATTATGCCGGGAAATGGAGATTGACATGAATAAAATGAACAAGAATTGGATGTAACTAGAAAAGAAGGCCCAAGACAGAGTGAGTTGGAGAATGCTGGTATGCGGCTTATGCTTCATTGGGAGTAACAGGCGTAAGTAAGTAAGTAAGTAAGGTTTGAAGCTATCACAAGTTTACTTAATCTGCGAACGAGAACAACGACTCGGTGACCAAAGACCAATAAGCTAGCTATTTGATGCGTCCCAGCCCCGCTAACTAGGGGGAGAAGTCCAAGCTTAGAATGGGAAAGTATATTCTGCAAACAAACAACAAACACAATTCAAAACGTATATATACAGTATAAAACCGGCCTTGAGGAGAGTTACCAAATAGCATACTAAAAGACACAATGGAGCGATCGCGTGAGTTCAGAGGCAGAATTAGGTTGCAATACCTGTCTAGTTCACTACGACCCAACTTTCGAAGCAGCAAGCGGACCTTCCAAACATCATTCTGATTAGCAAAGTCAAATTTGAATAAGTCTTCGTAACTTCGAAACCACATATCAAACGTGACATTGGATTCGGGATCGTAATGAAACTCGCAGATACTGTTAGCAATACCATCAACTGATGACAACTGAATTCAATCATTTAAACTATCTAAACGTATGATCAGATGATAAAGTAGACAATGAGACAAAATACTTATTTAGAAGCTATAAACTTAAATTCCATTATTCATAATGGATGAATCTAGCAAACATATTTGGTCAGAAGCAAGACACTTCAACTCGATGTATTTAAATCCTAATACTAATCTTTTACATAGTGACATGAGAACAACCCATTTTACTTTTAATACAAGCATGTTATCAAATAGGATATCCAATAATAAAAATGATTTATATTCATTTCATTTCTTTCTATTTTATACAGATCAAACTACTGTAACTCGTGGTTGTTTAAGTGATTTAATAATGAATACACAATATCGTTTAGATATGCCACAACTTCGTCGTCATGGTTACTGTGTTAATTCTCGTGATTATCAACATTATTTATTAAAAGTTTTAAAAGGGAAAACTTTAGTTGAAACTGCTATGGGATTATTTAGTGATGAGAATATGGATTTTAAACGTTTTTGTTATTGTAATGACTTTAATGGTTGTAATCATGTAAATAATTTAAAAGTTTCAACAATTTTAATTTCTTTTATTATAATATTGACACTTATATGGATTCATTGAAATATTTTTATTTCCATTACCTATTTTTTATCGTTTTCATTTTAACACTACTTTTAAACTTATAAGTAGTTAAAGTATTTTAACTAAAAATATTCTGCTTCTGATTCCTTTAGAATGTATATTATGATAAGTGAATATTTGAAACTGTTGATTTATAACGTTTGATAATATTTTGTAAACTATAAAAGAAAAATTTGTTTACAATGGAAAAGATTTTACAGTTAAAAGTTGAATTCTACAATAATTTTCATGTTTCTTTAAACAAAAAGGTGGTGGTGGTTAAGCGCTCGCGCGTGAGACTGATAGGTCCTAGGTTCGAATCCCGCGAGAAGGATTTTGTGGATACGCACTGCTGAGGAGTCCTAAAATAGGAAAAAACGGCCGTCCAGTGCTTCCATGTTTTAGATGGTGCCCTAACTTCAATTAACTCATGATCTCAACTATTGAAATGTCTTTAAATATTTGTGAATTGATTTTGTCTTTAGGTTGTCATAGTAACTAAAGAACAATTTTGTATAATTCTACTTAAGTTATAACTAATAATTTAAAGATTATAATATTTTCGCAGGTTTAACTGTACTTGCAAGTATGCTTATCATCTTCTAGGGATTGGAGTATATTTTTATAGTTTCTTTTTCTCAGACAATCTATTAGATTTACAGATTGTTTTTTCGTCTCAATGTGTTAGTCTAGTTAGATTTAATGCTGATGAGGATGGGATACTCAAGCGTCTCTTGACTAATAAGAAATCTCTTGTAATATTTGTGGAATATAGACAAGAAGAAAGTGCTGTTTCAAGTCAAATTCTTACTGATTACGTGTGTTCTTTTATTTTAGTAAAATGGTATTGACCGAACAGGCTATGAGTCGATATCAAAAAAGGAAAAGTGGAAGATTTTAAGATATTTCGGGATGAGTATCAGGTATTTTCTAAACGTCATTAAATGATCTGATCCAAATAAATTTGGAAATCCCACTGCAAAGTGACAGAGGTGGTCTACTAAGGATCTGAAGGATAAACTTTCACAGAACAATGAATCAAACTTGGATGGTTGAAGCTAAAGACTGTAGTGTCATGGTCGTTGAGTTGAAAAGTTGAAAAGGTTATGAAATTTAATACATGTGAAAAAGGCGAATATCACAGGCACTTCATTTCATGTTAAATCGGACGCTTAGAATGTTCCTGTTTATATGCTAAGAAAATAATAAGAATTGATAAAATAGTAGATTGGGGGTCATGTCATTGGGAGGTAGAGTTATAAAGAGAATCTCACTGACCCAAATAGGAGACCTTATACAAAACAATGAAATAATCTCCAATCAGTTTGTTTCCTAGTAGTCAGATCTTAGAAACGAATACTATCAAGGACTGTATAGAGGTATCGTTCGTTTTAGAACTTTTACATATTAATCCTTGTAATGTACTCGTTAATTGGTAAGAGCAAATGTGAAATTGTAATATACGTACAAATGTCCTTTTGCTTAAGAATTATATGGGAATAAGGCTTGTGACATTGTCAATAGTAAGCTGAGTTTAACAGCCATCCCACTATGGCGGAGATCATATATCTTAGCTTAACCCATAAAGTTGATGGTATTGTATCAGGAAAAAATTTAGGCTTTGCAGTAAAAGCAACAGGTCCTTGATAATGAGGGATTTCAATGAACCTGCAGAAAAATGAACAGACTTTTCTATGTAAGATCCAACAATGTATTCTACACTGTGCTCCTTATAATTATAATGAAGTACAGCTTGTATTCGAATCCAAAAGTTTTGGTTTAAACCAGAGACCTTCTTTATTGGGCATGTATTAATAATAACTGTTATTATTGTTATTATTATTATTGAAGATAGTGGTGTTGTGGTGTCTGAGCTGAACACTTTAGTCATGGAGCTTACATTGCTCTTCTAAACAACACCATTACCACTTACTTCAAAGATAAGTGACCTATAAAAATTTCACCACAAGTGACTAATAGCTTGTTCTGTTTATCTGGGATTCTATCGGTAGTTGTTCATAACTGTTTATTCATTGTCTGTATTGAACATAAATCTAAAGACATATCAAAATTGACCAAATTTATCAGCCAATAAGGAGAGAGATCAATAACCGCAGGTTCAGAGTTCAGGTCAGGAGAAAAAATGGCTAAAATAAACATATGGCGGCGACCACACTGTTATGGACAACAAACAACAGAATCACATGTAAACAAAGCAAGCTGTTAGTCAGTTATGAAGAAATTCTTATAGCTCACGTGTTCTTGAAGTAAGTGCTAATTATGTTTTCCACAAGATCAACGAAAGCTTCATAATCAACCAAATAGCTTATAAACCACAGTACATCCAACACCCTTATCCTGGATTAACAATATGCTCCATCATCTGAATATTAAAGATATTGCTTGTCTCAATATTTGATCACCACTTTCAATAATGACTACAAAATTTTGTTCTTCAGATGCAGATATAAAATATGATTAGTTATTGGACTAACACAGGCCACACGTTCTGGACTCCACTGCTTGGGACGTAAGACAATATTGAGGCAGTCCGCATAGGATGCACATGTGCACACAAGAGACTGATCAATTGTAGTCCTAAACAACAAGATGGGAAGTGTTGTGACTTTAAGGCTAACTTGTTATCATGTGATTTATTCTCCAGTCAAAATACGACTTATACAATCTTGGCACTGTGCCAAATCAATGACGTTCGACTGTTATGAGCAGCCTAGCGTCTTTATTGGTCCTTTTTTCGCCTAGCCCGTCCACCTGAGTCCAGAACACCAATAACAGCTTCCACTATGCGAATCATTTCTTTCAAATATACTTGGTTTATATAACAGCCAAATAGATCACATCACACCATAAAATAAATTATGTTTATACAAGATCAAGCCCAAAAGTGACTGTGAATGTGAGAGACTGTAATCAATAAACTGAAAATAACATAAGAATAATAAGTCGTATAACAGTAGTTAATGGGTCAAAATGAAGCTTATAATAAGAGGAATATAGATATATACAGTCTAGTTACTGAATAGTTATACCATTAATAGTTGTCGAAAGTTACCAGTAATTTAATCTTTACTAAGATATAACAGAAAGATAAAAGCAAATAATACCAAGTGAATTTAAACTTCACCCAATTGCATAAGCCATTGGCTATCACAATTCAGTAACTAAGTGAATAATATGATGGTGTTTGAAGTGAACGATACTGAAATATAATCCCAGAATGAACATCAACTCTAGGATGTAAGTACATCTAGCTGACAAGTTCCAAATAGGACAAAACACGCGTCCTAGTCTCCGTTGCAAGCTAACATCCATCCTTGCTTATACAGTGCTAATAATTCAAATATTGATTTTCTTTTGAATCATATGATATTGAATTTAACCAATGAATATGAATTCTGTATTAAACGAATAACCCTGGAACATATTGAACAGTACACATGATAAATTACAATGTATCATATAGAATTAATGGAATATTAAACAACGAATAAAACATGTACTGATAAACAAATGTAATGACATTTCTTATTGATCCATTGTTGAAGTTATCAAATGTGACTTTCCATAATTCATGTCTGTTTTTCTGTATTGAGTATTTAAGTGATGACATGATTGACAACATCATATACACATAAATATTATCCAGAAGAAAATGGTACGTGAATCATTGTTGATTATTCAATTCATTATGAACTATTTGAAGATTTCAATAGTTGAGATCATGATTCAATCGAAGCTAGATCACTATGAAAAAACCGGAAACACTGAACGGTCGTTTCATTCTAATGTGAGACTCCTTAGCAGTAAGCATTCACGATCCTGCCTCGTGAGATTCGAACTCGAGACCCGTCGGTCTTGAACGCAGGCGCTTAATTTTTAGACCACTGAGCTGGCATCCAATGGTGTTAATGTCTAACTTCAACTAATCCACGAAACTGAGCAACACACACACATGATCCCAACTATTGAAATTACTATAATATCCACAAAAATCCTTTCTGATATTGATTATTGTTTGTTCATGTTTAATATTATTCATTTGCATTATTGATGTTAAGAAAGATTCATGACCAATCCACTCAGCTTTGAAAACGAAAATCCACCGAACTATCTGCTGAACATGGAAACAATGTCCATATATATATATATCACAAAACAGATTAGATTGTTATTCGTATGAGATTATAGAGTGTTACTGAGATTGTATTGGCTGGTGCTATGTCGAACACACATAGGTTATTCTAGCTTCTAGAGATAGCAATTCATTAATTCTTCTCCAGGTGCAATTTGACATTGTCAATCATTCGCTTAATAACCCTGAATGCTTTTATATGATCGTATATGTGTTAATTACTCACCCTTTTCATTATGTGTCTGTAACCTATTTCATTTTACTTTAAATATCGAGTCACATTCGATAAGAGAAGTTTAACAATGTGAAATGTGAGATTGTTATCCCCTGAAACCAATTCAAAACTGTCACATAATACCATGGATTGATTTAGATTAGGTTTATACGCCATTGAATGCTGACTCGTTGATCACGACATTAAGCGTTTGTTTGTAAGATCAAGTGTTCTGATTTCGATGCTCGGATGTGGGGTCGTGGATGAGCAATGTAGTGGAGCCTCGTACTAACCCGAAACGGCCTTCCAGTACCTCTAGGATTTCAAAACCTACTTAACCTAGATCGATTGGTTATCTCAACAAATTTCGACAGCATTAGAAAAACAATGTGGGAGGACTTATTCAAGCCAAATTAATACCCGTATTTTTAAAGAAATGAGAGTAAGTTATTCATAAAGATCCATTCTTCCAACCTTCATTTAACTGTAAAATGATATCCGGTGATATAATAAATATTATGGTATGATGAAAAATGATTCAAACTATGGAAACTTTACTATGTTTCCGAAACCCTATGCGAATAGAAGTACAGATCTTAACAGTTCTCACCTACTTAGCAACTTGTTTTTACA